GAGTGAAGATAAAACTGAAAAGCTTGATGGGGCGGAAAGTTTATTACATCAACAAAACAGAAGTTATCAAAAGAAGTAGAAACATATCACAAGCAGACAGAATTCAAGGCATCAACTAATGGGTGTCTACATTCTTATCTACTAGAGTTGAATACCAAGAAATGTGGAGAATTTACCAAAAACAAGAAAAAGATTCTCCATGACCTGCTTTTTCAGTATCAAAGCTACTTTTCTTATTGATCAAATCACTTAAAACTAACAAAAAAACTGATCCTGCATTTAAACAACAACAACGAAAAAAATCTCTCCTTCATACTTTGTTCCGATTAGTGTGAACGCAGATAATTCTTCAAAATCTCTATAGAAGGACTGGAACACAAACATGTCTCGGACGAATACTGAGATGACTCTTTTTTTTTACACGAGTTGTTTGTTTCTCTAGCTTACAGTTAAACGATGCGTGGACTTAACTAGTGCTAGCTTCTTGATAATGGTTTCGTTTTACGTTTTTCTAGTACCCTACCTTAAAGTTTCGATTTCAAAATGCTCCTCGTATAGTAAAGAAAAGTGAAATAAAACCATATGTGAATTAGCTGAATGCTTCGACAGAACTAGTAATATGCACTCATAAAATACAATGTGATACAACGCGCATTCATGTATTTAGAATAACTTCAATGAAACAAAACTGTGTTTTTGTCGAAGTAAAAATCAGATGTGTCAAAAAACGAAACTTTTGTTTGTTTGTTATTAAGCATAAGCACAAAGCTATACAAAGGGCTATCTGTGCTCTGCCCACCATGGGTATCGAAACCCGGTTTCTAGCGGTGTAAGTCTGCAGACATACCGTTGTGCCACTGGAGGGCAAAAACGAAACGAATCAGATATGTCTTTTAGTACTGTGTCCAAATATAAATCAAAGTACAATATCCGTCATCTAAAATTCAGTAAAAAAGTAACACAGTTCTGATAACAAATCGTGAAACATAAATAAGAGATAAATCGAACAGCCAACAATATCTTGATAAACTATGCACAGAACATTTATAAGTCATGATGATAAAAAAAAACTTAGAAAAATATATCAGTATATAGTCTGTTCCAGAACTTAGCGCAAATCTACAGATAGACTATCTGCGCTTCTGATTTTGAACTGAAAGATTAGAAGGGAGGCAGATAGCCAACAGCACCCATAGCCAATTATTGAGTTATTCTTGTCTGATCGGATAGTGGTGATTGACCTTCACTCTTTTAACGCATCCATGCCCCCAAAGTGCGGAACACGTATTTTTTGACATCGGGACACGAACCACGAATCTTTCGATTTACAAAACGGAAACGCCTACCACTAGACTCCGCCCAGCCAATATATATTCAAAGATACATGATTATTACATCACAGTATATTTTACTGATTCAGTGGCTGTTGAGGGTCAATAGAATAATCTTCCAGTTGAATCACTATGAAAAAAAATGAAACGGCGATATTTGATTTGGACATCTTAGCATTGAAGAAAACATTGTCAGAATTGCTGCGACTGTAAGATTTGTCGTGGGTTTTTATTACAGTGACGCGAAAGAGATGTTCCAAGAACCTCTGAGATCAATTAATTTCTTTCTAATCTCAAGTTATTACAAAGAGTTTATACTGCATTTTACAATTTTAGTTTTCATACTAATCACTAAGCAATTCTGATCGGATTCCAAATTGTCATCAGATAAGAAACAATGTTTATATTGATTAGTGATTATAATTTTATAGTGAAAACGGCAAAAATGCGGTGAATTATACATAGCATACACTACATACACAATCTGAACCAATCACATTTAGCGTTACCCTGTTATCTATCACTGTTTTCCTTCCAAAAACATTGTCCGTTTTTGTTTTAAACTAAACACACGCAAACACAAAAGAGCAGTTAATATGGTTCATCTCATATGTCAAAAATAGCTTGTCATCCAAATTTCTTAAATCCCAATATAAACATATATGCCTTTCCACAGCTACATATGATCAAATAACCCTGATTATCTCGATATTACAGAGGTGATTATTTGTGACAGAGCAGCATCTTTATTGCATCTTACGTGCATCTACGAATAAACTTAAACGTTTACATTCAAATATATAAAATTAAAATAACGTTGTAAAACTAGTGGATTTAGATTGTTCTGTAGGGGCTGCAATCTTTACTTGTTTTTAGTGTTATTTCGTGGCGTCTTCTATTGTTCAGACTGTAGCGGGTAGGGAAGTGGCTTTATTAACATGAGGGCTGCGGATCGAAAGAACAACGTTAGAGTTGTTGTGATACTGATTACGCTTCGCGCTTTCAGCCGTGAACGCATTACCAAAATGACCATCTATCCCGTTGTTCGGTTCAGAAAAAGCTGGATAAAACCCGTGTGGTAGGAGGGAACTGCCTTCCCCTTGGTCAGCAGTTCAAAATAATGGGCAGTTATACGTGAATCCTAAGGGGTCTGTTGTTGTTTGTAATTAATCACAAAGCTACACAATGGGCTATCTGTGCTCTGCCCACCACGGGTATCGAAACCCGGATTCTAGCGTTGTAAGTCCGCAAACAATACCGCTGAGGGAGGGCTAAAGAGTCTGTTACCAGGGCGTTTAGTATATGTGTCGCATAAGGTGCCGTTCAGGTTAAAAATGGAAATTTAAATTTTCCACTGGGATAACCAAAATAATATGCTGCAGCTTAACGTTTATTTCCACGTCTTATAACACTAATTCGGACGAAATTTGTCGTTTTCATTCAATTCTGTCATCTTTGTTTGTTTACAAAAAAAACGTCGAATATTTATACTCCAATAGTACTACTACATGTTATATTTCAACCCTACACAGACAAATAAATTCCATCAAACTTTTTTCTTTATTTCATTATCAAAAACCATTTTTGAGCATTACCTTCTTAAACTGGCCACATTCAACTACTGGAAAATGTCAACATGCTTTCATCAACAACCGATATAACATTCTGAACAAAATAGAATTATAGTATTTAAGAAAGGTTGGAAGTTACTCGAATCTCACTATAGGCACAATCAATTTCTAACATCCACGCTGTTACCGTTGAGAAAACGCAATCAATTTCTAACATCCACGCTGTTACCATTGAGAAAACGCAATAAATTTCTAACACCCATGCTGTTACCACTGAGAAGGCGCAATCAATTTCTAACATCCATGCTGTTACCACTGAGAAGGCGCAATTAATTTCTAACATCCGTGCTGTTACCATTGAGAAGGCGCAATCAAATTCTAACATCCGTGCTGTTACCATCGAGAAGGCGCAATCAAATTCTAACATCCATGCTGTTACCATCGAGAAGGCGCAATCAATTTCTAACATCCACGATGCTACCATTGAGAAGGCGCAATCAGTTTCTAACATCCACGATGTTACTACTGAAACAGCTCTAGGACATCTTTGCAAAAGAACATCTACTTTTAAATGGATAACTGAAAATCTCTGAAACTATAGAATCACTAGATTATTTCTAAAACTCACATAGTTTCAGGAACAATATATCGAGTCAAAAGTCCAGGTGTGGCCTTGCGGTTAGCGTGACGTATTGTATATCCTAGGTTATACGGTTCGCGTCCCGATGCAGTAAAATCGCCAGTATTCCATTACAGTAGCCTAAAAGTTGGCAACTGGTACTACTGACTAGTTCTACCTTTACTCTTATCGGTTCAAAATTAGGGACGGCCAGCACAGATAGTCCTTGTATAACTTTGCACATATATACGGAACAAACAAACAAACAGAGGTATCAAAAATTGGTTTTGGGATAATTTTACAAAATAATTAAGAACATATCCACGAATGTTTCTTGTTTATATATTTGTGCTACAATAGTTTTAATTTTGTTTATGCATCGCATATTGTTGAGCTATAAAAAATATAACACGACAATAAAATTGTATCCAATTTTACTCACAATCTTATATGCATGTTAAAACAAAAATAAGTTTGTCTCTGTTAACAGCTATGATAATCTTAGAAACAGTCACATAAGAATGATTCTCTTACAATGAGGCACATTTTCAAGTGCTGTTAAAAATGGAATGGAAAAACTAGTTGCTTCTTGTATATACTTACCATTACGCCCCCCAGTGGCACAACGATAATTCTGCGGACTTACAACGCTAGAAACCGGGTTTCGATACCCGTGGTGGGCAGAGCACAGATAGCCCATTGAGTAGCTTTGTGCTTAATTCCAAACAAACAAACTTAACACTACCGTACTATAGTTTTAATATTTGAATCGTTGTTTTTTCAATTATTAGGCTGATAGCAAAGTTATAAGTGAAGCAGGAACCGGGTTAAACCAAATGCCACTCTCAAGGTACTAGCGGTAATACAACAAAATAAGGCGTTTATAAAATGTACATTTGAACATCCTATAGTTAAATTTCCATATTGTTTCTCTACTAACTGTGCATGGGATTTGTTTTGGCTAATTCACGCGTGGCTAACGAGGGTAAAGGTCTTTGGTACCGGTAGTTACACACTCGCGTAATGTCTTAAACGTAATGAAACAGATTCACATTGCAAAACAGACACCAAATATAAATAACTGTACAAATCTTTATTTCTCGTCAGAGTAAATGGCGATATGACATTTTTCTTTTCATGACTCTTTCATTTCTTTCTCTCTTTTTGTTTTTAATTAAAAAGTGTTTTGAAATACTAAAAATAGCGACAGGAAATTTTAACTCACTATTGGCATAATCATTCCGAAATCTTCTACTCTACAGAGTTAGGTTTCCAAACTCGAGGTAAAATACTTGTATTTCATAACAGATATCGACTCAAAATCATAAATAATATAAACTGTTACACAATTAAAAACATTTTACCAGTTTATCGTTGAATATTATTTATGATTTTAACTTTATACACAAGTGCCAAAATACTATAATTAATTAGATACCGACTCTTTCAAAATTATAAAGAATAATATTTCGGCCTTACCTGATCACTATCTTGAGCATGGTAGCTTTCGTTACTCTGAAATGAAAGAAAAACACAAGTTACGGGATCCAAATTAAGCCTATTTGTTAGCTGTACAGTTTCTCTTTACCTGAAGAAAACTTGAAATACAAATATGTTTGTTTCATAAGAGAAATTACTTACATTTAATCTAAAGAGAAAAAAGAAAAATCCTGAATTTTAAGAAAATACAAAATAAACATCTTACTTTATAAAACATGTATATTTTAATTCTTGCAAAGAACCGCATTCTCCTAGTTTAAAACTGTAAATTAATGTTTAATATTTGTATTAAGAGGTGAGAAGTCAAAGCACAAGTCGAAAACGTTACACTACCCCTTCAGACTTCGCTTTACCTTAAGGACACTGATGTACAGCCTGAAGCTTCCTCCACCATCCAAGTGTGACGTAATCTCTTTCTCAAGCTCGCTAGCCAATGAAATTGCAGGTGAACATTAAATGCGCGGTTTAATCTTTTTTAGTACTTTTCACTGAACTATATAATATTAAGCATTCAAATGTCTATTATAAATATAACAAATATAACAAAATCAGAGGTAATCAGAGATGGTTTAGGGTTCCTTCACCCTTACGATGTAAAAATACAGCTTTCAAATGCGTTGTAAATAACATGAATATTACTTCTTTATTATTTTTTATTTTATCAATATTATAGACACTCAATGTTATTAGGCTTACTGTGAAAGTATACTTTCTACGTTGTTGATCGAGTAAATTTGTCATTCCATTAAGCTTGAAAAACTGACAATACGTGAGCAACTTTTTTTTTTTTATCGAATTATACTTTCCAGACAGAGACTCTTTCTGTAATCCCTCTATAAACAAATATAAAACTATAACATTACAACTGTCACTTCTAAGTTGTTTTATGATCAACTTTATGAAGCACGGTTTGCAGAACAATTTTTTTTTTGTTTAATCACCCAAACATTTTCTGTAGAACTAAAACGTCCAAAGTTTTATTGTTATTTACAACAAAGCAAACAAAAACGTTCGATCCCCTCTACCAGGGTCAGTTAAAAGTGACCCTTAGATACGGCAAAAGTTTAAAATGCCGCCCCTTTCACATATGTATTATTTTCTTTAGTTCAGCTTCAAAAAAATCCTGACATTATGTCATAGCTGCAAGCATTTTATCACTTTAAAATGTTGTATTCAGAATTTAAAAATTTATTAAAGTTTGACGTTATTTTACGTCTTTGTTTTAATTCTGTGTTATGTCTTTCTCCAGGAAAAGGGACATTCTCCCCACCATTCTTTCTTCCGGCCCGTTCCTTCCACCCCTCCTGGTCCACAATACACCGCTCTAAGCGGCTGCCTAGGTTGCTTACCCCTTAGACTGCCACTGTAATCACGTGATTTCAAACTAAAACTGTCAAAAACATATGTACACTTTATTTTATTATTTCTACGTGGCTCGTAAGATAACACCGTTATAAATAAATACGTTATTTTACATTGGCTGCTAAAGTTCTAGTAAAAACACTGATCAATTGACTACCTACAAACCAATGCTAAGTGTTAAGAAATTACAGAAGAAACAGCTTCTGCCATCAAATGTTATGACGAATGTAATAAACTCACTCCAGTATAGTTAGCGTTGTTACGTATTCAACTAATATTTATTAAACTTAGTTTCATGTGAGGCTTGAAATTTTATATAATCTATACACAATACCATCAATACCTTACCAAACTGGACAAACATCTTGGCCACTATTACAACGTCAGTGTTATCACGACGTAACATATAGTATACTGGTTCCCGACCCTTTTCACTCCAGGGACCCGCAAAACCTTTGTAAAAAACTTAAGGACCTGTAGGAGTATATAAAACCTGTTTGCTAATTCAGCTTCTTCAGGAAGATTTGAAGCAGAACTTATAAGATTAACATATTTTACAATGAACGAAGAAGGAAATAACACGTAACAAATATACTTGATATAGGGTTCGCAAAAATTGAATCATTCACTATATATATTAACTCTCTTTTTTTTCTTTCACTGGTTGTTTCTGTAGGCAAGCGGCTGGAAACCCCTGACACAGTATTTTCTTGCAAAGCGAGTATGTCATGCCAGGAAGACTACCATTAAAAAAAATGAGGGACCATATTGAGGATTTCAGAACTTGAACACTACAACAGCAGAACGTATTCTGTGAATAAACAATAATTAACTTTTTCCGTGGGATACTTCCATTATTTGATATGAAGTTAGAAAAGTAAAACACCTTTTTGTCTGTTCATCACAGATTTTTACCGAGAATTGTCAACATCGACAAGAAATTTCCACGTGCAATCTTCACCAGTAATAAGCACTGTTCACTGAAACCTTTCTGTCACTGTTCTACCGGAACATTCAACATTTTCCTTTCGTGTCTTTGTTTTTGTTATGATTAATTTTCTTATAAATTTAGTTTTGGTTTTGCTTTAGGTGTTCAATCATCATTTTTATACAGTGCTAAATTTTTGCCTATATACTACTGGTGAACTTCAGATTTATTTTCAACAAAGCTCGTTAACTAATAAGAAATTATTTTACCACAACAGAGTTATCGTATACGTTTGTTCTACCCTTTTCTCTGAAATACATATATACAAACAGACAGACATGTTCAAACGGTCATCGTAAATAAACAGATACAGTACGTTCAGTTTTCAAAACTGGTCAGTATGTAAAACATGAGTCGGGATAATGACTTAATGATTACTGTACTGAAAGTGATAGATATCTTATAAAATAGCATACGAATATATTAATCTATAAAATAACGTTATATTGAATACTTCAAAGCAAAACAAGAGAAATTTAAACCATTCTTAAAACGGCACTTGGAAACGGTACAAACCAAGGATGACCTTGAGTAACTAACGACCTTTAAGTTCTCCTTAAGGTAAGTTCCATGATCGAGTAATTACTTTTTTTAATACATTTTCATACTTATTTTAAAATAAAGTATGTGGAAAAATAATACATTCGAGTTACTATATATATATTTGTTTGTTTTGAATTTTGTGCAAAGCTACATGGGGGCTATCTGCGATAGCCGTCCCTAATTTAGCAGTGTAAGACTAGAGGGTAGGCAGCTAGTCATCACCACCCACCGACAACTCTTGGGCTACTCTTTTATCAACGAATAGTGGGATTCACCATCACATTATAACGGCCCAACGGCTGAAAGAGCGAGCATGTTTGGTGGGACGGGGATTCGAACCCGCAACCCTCAGATTGCGAGTCGAGTGCCCTAACCACCTGGCCATGCAGGCCTACTCTATATATAGATAGATATATATATACACACACACACACACACACACACACACACACACACACACACACACACACACACACATACATACAGGGCAATTCAGAAGCCAACTGATACATAAAATTTTAAAATGGGGGTGTATAACAAGCTATATTTTTAATGAGGTGTTGAGGCCCTACCCTGTGACAATGTCACTGAAGTCATTCACGGCCAACTTTAAGACCATGTCATTCGAATATTTTATTAATATTCATCGTACACCGATAATATCAATTCCAAAGTGTAGACAATAACAAGTCGGACATTTCAATAACACATAACCAAACCAGCTCTTCAAGAACAGCAGCTATAGGCATAAATGCAGGTAACATCCTAATATTATTAAGTGATGGTGGAAAACAGTCAATAGCTGTATTCATAGTGCTGCTCAGATATGACAAATGCCAATATGGCGGTTCATTTTCAATACTGAGTTCTTGGTCTGCCTCTAGGGCGACTATGCGTAACCGAGCCTGTACTATACAACAGCAGACCAGATTTCCTACAATCTGATGTGAAGGATGGTGTTCATCTAGGAACCGTTCGTCATACAATTTGGCAACAATCCGGGCATTCTAACGAAATTCTCCAAACAGATGGAGGATCATGATAAATCATTCTTCAACTGAATGCTGTAACATTATTCAGTTGGCTTGGGAGAGCCTGCAGCACAAAACACGTATCCTACCTTATGTACGTAAGGGGTGGGGCTTAATAATTTTTAATCTTATGGACTCTTCGAAGCCTTAATGACCTGCTTATGCAAAATTGTGACCTTGCACCTCAAACCTCTGTTTACTTAACAATCTTTGCCATTTTCAGGTTTCGATCTTCTGTGGCACATTTCCTTGTACGTGGAAGAGTTGTATTTATGCCTACAACCGTTGTTCTTGAGAAGCGATTTTGATAATTTTTACTATTGACATTTTCGGTGTATAATACACATTAGTTTCTGACGGTCATGAAGGCCCACAACACCTCATTCCACATCACTAACAGTGAGGCTTCTGATATATCTCCATTTCTGAATTATTTACGTCAGTAAACTTCTGAATTACCTTGTATTATATATTTCAAGCTACGAAGGAAAGCGTTTTCAATCAAATAATTCTTAATTAACCCCAAAATAATTTCAAGTGAGAATAGGGCTTAATAGCTTTCTAACTGTTCTGCTTTTTCGGGATTTAGGTCCTTGTTTGGACCTGGGAGGGTCAGGTGCAATCTAGACCTCTTCCTCCCGCATTGTAGATGTAATTTCTTCCCCAGCATAAGTGTTTTTTTACTATTTCAGTATTTGATTTTTCGGCATTTATGTACACTGTCAAATGTTGAACGCGACATAAAAGAGGGTATTGGCTTTCATGAGTGTTTATTATATGAATTCAATTCCCCTATTAGATCCATGTCCATTTATGTTCAAACGTTCGCCATTTACACTGGGATATACTCGCTAATTTCATAATGTGGCTTATTTTATGTGTATTTACATAAATACCATTTTAATACACTATATTATAAACTACATAATGATATTTTAGATAGATCTAGCAATAGGTAGCATATTACCAAACTTATAGTACATATTTATGGGTGAGAGGTACTTAGGCTCATTTCCATCAACTAAGTTTGTTTGTTTGCTTGTTTCGAATTTCGCGCAAAGTTACACGAGGGCTATCTCCGCTTGCCGTCC